ATTCTCTGACTATAGCAATCTGTGATCCGGTACGTGATTGGCACGTAGATGTAGCGCGTGTGATCAGCTACAATGTATATAGAGTAAGACCGTGGTTACATGTCTAGGACTTTATACCGACTGGTAAGTGTCGTTTAATTATCTCATTTTGTCACTTAATAATAATAATACCGAAATGATGTCATCATACCAGCAGGTCGGTATTCTCTCTACATACACCGTAACAATCGTTAGGTCTCATCGATACTTAGTCTTTTCTAGTTTTTGCATCTTTATCTAATTTTGTAAAGCTGATACGCGGTGATCTTTTATACTAAATATCTACAAAAAAATACGAGTTATTGTGATAGCGCTGCCTAAACAGACGACGAGAAATCCATTATAAATATTAGAAAACAGTCACATGATCTGTCTGGGCATAAATTGATTGGCGTTTCGCAAAGGGGAAGGCTTATCAATAAGGTTAGAATAGATAGCTGGTTTCTGAAGAACGACGTTATTTCACCAGAACGGTCAATGTCTCGGACTTGACATGGCCGTCTGTCGTCTGTTTTCTCTCTATGTCTTTCTGTAGGTGCCATTAAGTTTAGCATAGATTTCTTGTTATCCATGGACAGGAAATCATCAAATATGGAAGTTAAAAAGCAAGCCCTTTTTACCGGGTTCGAGAGGTACTTCAGTAATTCAGCCAAAAGAGGAGCACAGATAATTTTCATGGGCGTGGAAAATGTTTGTTGGATGTCTTATCACTAAACACCACGAATTATTGTTCATCGCGTACGTTTCAGATCATGGGGGGGGGGAGGTGTTGGAATAATGGCTCTTGAATACGAGAAAAAATTTGAGAATGGTTCTCTGAAATAAGCACCCTACTTAAAGTTTTTTTTTCATATTCGTTACCTGTTAATCAGACGCACACTGAAAAAGAAAAAAAATATTCTTTTTTCTTTACAAGCATATGACTTCAAAAATACTAGTTTTTTTCTGCTGGTGTCCTTAAGCTACTCACTCCGCGACGTGTCCAGTCCTTTAGGGCCAACATTTTGACAACTTCCTAATTTATATGTTGATTACAGCGTGTGTATTTCATTGCTACAAGTCTTTAATGCTTCGATACCCCTGATCTAATCAGGAAAGCGTCAACAGATACGGGCGAGTTCTGATCCTCATTAGAAAGCACAAGTGTTTCTATAACCACATGGCGCATCGAGAAATAACACCCGGCGAATTGGAGCCTATTTCTGGTAGTGTTTGCTGTTTTTGTAGTCAGATCTAACGCCGATACAAATGCAAAGCCTGTTGATAAGGACGATATCACGATTATTTAGTTATGTCCCCCATACGAAGTGGGGTGGGGGGACATATTGTGTTTGCTCCGTTTCTTATTATTATTTATATCATTCTTATTTCTTCCGCTTTCTTCTGCCGGCGAGGTTCCCGACGCGTTTCTCAAAAACCATTGCATGGAATTTAACAAAAGTTTACACACATATTCATACATGCGAGGCGGAGTGCAGGCCATCTGAATTTTTCCAAACGGACATCTGAGCGGTCAGCTGTGGTAAAAATTTGGCCAAATTTTAGATATTGTCTGATTTTCGTGAAAATTGGTATATATGTATTAGGTGGCACTATAGGAGCAAAATGGCGTAGTCCATGTTTGGCATGACTGCAGGTCTGATTATTGTGAACATTTACTGCTGAAGGGGTCGTTTGGGGGACATTTGGAATGGTCCCCATTACAATTAGTATTGTTAGTTTTGTGGTAAAGGAGGTTTTACTGGCCCACGTTCAAAAACCGTCAAATGCTCCCGGGAGATTCCCATTTGAAGTTATTTAACAAGTTATTCATAGTTTGAATAGGCAATATTGTGAAATGAAGAATCTTTCAGAGCGGGGGCTTAGGTTGTGAGCCCCCATCATCTCACACCTTTAAAAACTCCTGTCAGAGCGGGAGCTTAGGTTGTGAGCCTCAATCTCACACCTTTAAACACTCCTGTCAGAGCGGGAGCTTGGGTTGTGAACCCCCATCTCACAACTTTAAAAACTCCTGTCAGAGCGGGAGCTTAGGTTGTGAGCCTCAATCTCACACCTTTAAAAACTCCTGTCAGAGCGGGAGCTTGGGTTGTGAACCCCCATCTCACAACTTTAAAAACTCCTGTCAGAGCGGGAGCTTAGGTTGTGAGCCTCAATCTCACACCTTTAAACACTCCTGTCAGAGCGGGGGCTTAGGTTGTGAGCCTCAATCTCACACCTTTAAACACTCCTGTCAGAGCGGGAGCTTAGGTTGTGAACCAACATCTCAGACCTTTAAAAACTCCTGTCAGAGCGGGAGCTTGGGTTGTGAACCCCCATCTCACAACTTTAAAAACTCCTGTCAGAGCGGGAGCTTAGGTTGTGAGCCTCAATCTCACACCTTTAAACACTCCTGTCAGAGCGGGGGCTTAGGTTGTGAGCCTCAATCTCACACCTTTAAACACTCCTGTCAGAGCGGGAGCTTAGGTTGTGAACCAACATCTCAGACCTTTAAAAACTCCTGTCAGAGCGGGAGCTTGGGTTGTGAACCCCCATCTCACAACTTTAAAAACTCCTGTCAGAGCGGGAGCTTAGGTTGTGAGCCTCAATCTCACACCTTTAAACACTCCTGTCACACCTCAATCTCACAACTTTAAACACTCCTGTCAGAGCGGGAGCTTAGGTTGTGAGCCTCAATCTCACACCTTTAAACACTCCTGTCAGAGCGGGGGCTTAGGTTGTGAGCCTCAATCTCACACCTTTAAACACTCCTGTCAGAGCGGGAACTTAGGTTGTGAACCAACATCTCAGACCTTTAAAAACTCCTGTCAGAACCCCCATCTCACAACTTTAAAAACTCCTGTCAGAGCGGGAGTTTAGGTTGTGAGCCTCAATCTCTCACCTTTAAACACTCCTGTCAGAGCGGGGGCTTAGGTTGTGAGCCTCAATCTCACACCTTTAAACACTCCTGTCAGAGCGGGAACTTAGGTTGTGAACCAACATCTCAGACCTTTAAAAACTCCTGTCAGAGCGGGAGCTTGGGTTGTGAACCCCCATCTCACAACTTTAAAAACTCCTGTCAGAGCGGGGGCTTAGTTTGTGAACCTCCATCATCTCACAATATAAACTGAAGCGATAACTGTCTCTGTCAAATGCACCTGTGATTCGTCACAATACCATGATAAAAGACAGAGGAAGTGGTGTTAAAGTGTTAGGAATAGATGTGCCAGTAGAACTAAGTTTCATTTTGTTTCCGCTGGAGTTAAAAGGAACAGCCACTTTTCGTAAGACAAGCTTTAATGTTATCAATCACGTGCAATTTACCTGATCCAGTTCGATATCAATCAAACGACAAATAATGTTATCACTCTATCAAATTGTGTCGTACTGCATTATAGTCACCATGGGTGATTTACGACGGTGTTACAACTACGAAGTAATGCGAATTCTCATGATCCACAATTAAATAGTCGTTCCATTAGACAGCGATTTCATATTCAAATTTGTAACAAATTTCAGCGGACTATCGTTCAAGTTGAAAACCCTTCTTCCTTTAAACTTAGGAAAAAAACCAGCGGTTTTTAATATTTCACTTGTAAATGTAGGTACTGCAGTGTGGGCACGGAGTGGAAGTGTATGGAAGTAATACATATAGAGGTGTAAGTAGGTGACACAGACGTAGGTACTGGGTATGAAATTGTGGATACGTTGACTTTCTTCGACTGAACAAATTGTTCCTGTTCAATCAACCTTGAATAGTCCTTACTGTTGTCGTATTGTCTCCTGAACATTGTCGACCTCTACAATCAGATTATTCATTCTTCAGTTTTAAACGACAAAGTAATTAAATTGCGTTACTGTAACTACACACACTTAAATATATTCATTGATATACAAGGTTACATTTTGTTGTCGTTGTTGTCAAAACAGCTGTTACCATGGTTACGATCTCTTCGACGTCAAACTGCGTTAAAACTTTGAAAAACCTACGGATATTTCGAGATATTAGCATTGAAATGAAAATTAAGGAATGCTTTTGTTTTTTCAACACTCGTGATGTTATAGCAACTTTAAGTTTCTGCACATATTAAGTAAAACGTGTCAAGAGATCCAATATTGATAACAATACCTCAAGAATATTTTGATTTATATAAACTTTAGAATATTTTTAATACTCTAGGTGAGAGTGAGATATGGTGATGCCATCGTCATAATATTGTGTCGCTACTTATACAATTTGTCACAACAATTCACTTAAAATATCAGTCTGTACCACGTATCTGGGAAGTCAGAATTTGATCCCTAAGCATAAACAGTCTTATCCTTAAGCATAAACAGTTTTATCCCAGAGTATAAACAGAGTTTATCCCTAAGTATAAACACGATTTTATCCCTAAGCATAGAAAGAGCTTTATCACTAAGCATAAACATTGTTTTATCCCTAAGCATAGAAAGAGCTTTATCACTTAGCATAAACAGTGCTTTATCCCTAAGCATAGAAAGAGCTTTATCACTAAGCATGAACAGTGTTTTATCCCTAAGCATAGAAAGAGCTTTATCACTAAGCATAAACAGAGTTTTATCCCTAAGCATAGAAAGAGCTTTATCACTAAGCATAAACAGAGTTTTATCCCTAAGCATAGAAAGAGCTTTATCACTAAGCATAAACATTGTTTTATCCCTAAGCATAGAAAGAGCTTTATCACTAAGCATAAACAGAGTTTTATCCCTAAGCATAGAAAGAGCTTTATCACTAAGCATAAACATTGTTTTATCCCTAAGCATAGAAAGAGCTTTATCACTAAGCATAAACAGAGTTTTATCCCTAAGCATAGAAAGAGCTTTATCACTAAGCATAAACAGAGTTTTATCCCATTTCTAAGCATATTGTTTTTACATATAGAGGATTTCACGGTATTTCTTGTTTTGTTGTAGAATGATGGTTTCCATTGCACAACTTGACCACATCGAACAGTGATAACAGCATGCAGCCTACAAATATGAGAGGGTCACCGCCAGATATGATACAGACGCCATACACACACCGACTTCTCGCCTTCGCCGGACATGAACTCAGAAGTTACATGAACAACACTGACCGTTATGAAGACTCTTTTGCCTCGACAGGACCATCTGTCGGCTATGCAGTAAGTGTCCCCGAATTTATCATTATTACTAAATAAAAGACATTAAAAAGAAAATGTTAATGCGAATTATGTTGGCAAAGCCTGTCAAACATATCCCAAAGACTAAAATAATATTTCTAGAACTGTATATCGAAGTTTATACTGCCGCAATCATCCGAGAGTTCATTAAGACCTTCACGCTAATATTGTTATTCGGATTTAGTGTTGACACTGGGTTTTTTTATGTTTATGGGAATCAATCTTCAATAACATTTTTAATGTGGAAAAAATCGGGTGTATATACCTGATTGAAATATATCCACGTAAAACGTGTTACGAGTGGGTGATGTATTATTTACCTTACTAAAATGGACACGTGTTTCTTTAATAGTAGCGGAAGTTGTGTCATCAATACATTAATTATGAATATTAAGTGTCGCTTCGATGGAGCTTACCTCCTATATACAAAATCTACAGAAATACTACGTCATTTTTATTTTCAAACTTATTGTCGGACAAAAATAAGATAAAAACAATATTCAATTCAAAACCTGGTAAAGAAGGAAGTATGTTTTATAAAAAAAAGACACGTGCCCTCATAGTCACAGCGTAAGCATCGCGTGTTCATAACAGCGAAGTTATAAAAAATTATCATGTCTCTAGTTTTTTTTATTGTATTAGGAAGATTTACTTTCATCACGGCTGACAAAGGTTTCACCTGTCAGTGACAATGTTTTGTGTCACACTTGGGGAAGACGATTGTGTTGCATGCATATATCGGAATTGAGATGGAACTATCTGACCTTTTTAGTGAACCTGATAACTCGTGCATATTATGTATCTGTCTTACTCATCTGTAAGTTATTTGGTCTGAAATCATTATGGGAACAATTTCTCAAATATTATGGATGACACTGCACACAGTTTATATACAATATTACCATTACAAACGATTAAACAGTGTTTATGTGATAAAAAAAATGCAGTGGCTGTTTTTTTATTACTTGTTTGATGTTTGGTATAAGCAGTGTTTATCACAATTTATATATGAGAAATCAGCAATGCTGTAGTTCCTCACGTGTTAATACCTCATTATGAACTTCTCGCCTGAGAGATAATACATGTTGTACGTATCTTGCAGACGTCATGGTTGGTTAACTTAATACAGAGTTCATTTTTAGATCTGTTTGTTGGTTCAAAATAACACTTATTTGATAAGTTATAAAAGCAACAGAAATTTTTTGACTGATAATGAAGGGATTTTTTTTTTAATTTATTTTATTTTTCAAGGCATTTTAAACATACAGATAAACAACCTTGCACACCCCACACATAGCAATTGTACACCTCATGCATCTTATCATTGTACAGTCATCATCATCAGCATCCCATGTACAATCTACAACATCATCTTCATCATCATCCCATATACAAACATCATCATCATCATCATCATCATCATCATCATCATCATCATCATTATTATTACTAGACATACAAGTACACAAACTTTCACACCCACACATTAAAAACACCATATTGGTAAAATCCTAATCCTTTGTTAGACTGTGGTTATCTGAACCCAACACTATCATATGACGAGCTTCTTACGTCAGGACACGTAAAAACAGTTATACAACTCCCAGTTTGGAAATAGGACACCTCCACCTTGATGAATTTTTACAAGGTGCTAATTCAAGTTAAATAAATATTCTTACGACCCAATCGGTGCTCTCATTGCCTGTAAGTTGAATAAGTGTAAAAGGTGGTTAGAATTTTGTTTTTGAATATATAATATAGTTTTATATCGCTATAATATGTTGGCTTGAACACGGAAATGTTTAAAGATAATTTATACCTCCCTAATTAAACTTTATACCTACAGGCTAAAGAGACGTTCACGTAGATAACTATTTTGGTTATCGTCGGAATAACTTATCCGACGAGCATCATGACCACCATCATTGAAAACAACATATTCCTAACTTTTTGTCTCCCTTAGAGATCAATTTTAAACTGATTACTATTGTATTCGATTAAAATTAGATTTTAAACATTTATTTCTCATTTTGTCATTGATTGAGTGTATAGCATCATCAAAATTAAAATGTAAAGACATACGTCACAAGATTCTCTACATCACAGGCGGTTGGTTTGAAACCTTAATTGACCAAATATGTCCAATAGTTGGTAAAAATAAATAGGTTTGTAATGACCCCTGACTATTTTCTTATTTAGCAATTATTTGTAAAACCGCATCACACAGACAAATAAAACTACCGGTGCTGACTTGAGTATTTACTATAGAGGAGATTTATTACGAAAATGAATAGCCTTAATGATGAAGACGACGATTCTGATATTCCTGATATGAATGAAAATGTATTTGATTTCATACTTAATAGTGAAATAACAGTAAATAAAGTCAAACTATCATTTACCTTCGTGATGATAAAGCGCCATGTATTGATAGTATATAAAAAGTCTACATTATCGATCTTACTGTTCTGTTCAGAACAGCGGCTGTGTACCGGAAGTCTGCACAATAGGAAAAACAATATATATAAAGGATAAATGCCGAGGTACTACGATAGAACTATTCTGAACTCTAGATTTAAAAAAATTTCAGAAGATATTGACATAATTTCTAGTGGTCAACTTTGTTTCAGAAAACTTTACATAAGATTAGCTTAACCTTGCATTCCCTGATATCTCTATATAATGACAAGATCATGTACCCTTCATATATATTTTCCTAAAGATGAAAAAAACTACTGTGTTGCGTTATCGACTTCAGAAAAACCTGTTTGGCGAGTTTTGTTTTTAGGCGAAGTTATGGGAAAATGATATCGCTGGTAAAAAAGTCCAATGCTATATTTAATCTTCACACGATTACATGTCATGTGTAAAACCTAGTATTGGAATGTCGAGATAAAACAAAGTGAAAACCTTGTCACATTATTATTTTCTTTATTTCTGAATAATTTCGAAGAATCTGTTGCATTTCTCGGTAATTTTGAGGTTTGAAAATACCAACATCATTAGAAATTATATTTCAAGTTTTGCAAGAACATTTTGTACAATGCAGATATAGTATTTGATATTAGTAGATTTCCTGTGAAATTAAAGTAATTTCTCGAATGATCATGTTTTGGTATAAACAAGTAACAGGTGAAAACAAACAAGTAACAGGTGAAAACAAACAAGTAACAGGTGAAAACAAACAAGTAACAGGTGAACACAAACAAGTAACAGGTGAAAACAAACAAGTAACAGGTGAAAACAATTAAGTAACAGGTGAAAACAAACAAGTAACAGGTGAAAACAAACAAGTAACAGGTGAACACAAACAAGTAACAGGTGAAACAAACAAGTAACAGGTGAAACAAACAAGTAACAGGTGAAAACAAACAAGTAACAGGTGAAACAAACAAGTAACATGTAACAGATGAAAACAAACATGTAACAGATGAAAACAAACAAGTAACAGATGAACACAAACCAGCACTGTATGGCCTCTCTGTAACAGGTGAAAACAATTGTGTGAAAACAAACTGTAACAGGTGAAAACAATTGTGTGAAAACAAACATGTAACAGGTGAAACAAACAAGTAACAGGTGAAACAAACAAGTAACAGGTGAAAACAAACAAGTAACAGGTGAAACAAACAAGTAACAGGTGAAACAAACAAGTAACAGGTGAACACAAACATGTAACAGATGAAAACAAACATGTAACAGATGAAAACAAACAAGTAACAGATGAACACAAACCAGCACTGTATGGCCTCTCTGTTACTATGGTATTGTGTGGTTTCACTGTTACAGTGGTATTGTGTGGTCTCTGTTACTGTGGCACTGTACGGCCTCTCTGTTACTGTAGCACTGTACGGCCTCTCTATTACTGTTTCAATGTATGGTCGTTCTTTAACTATGGAGTTATATGGCCTCCTTTTAACTGTGGAGCTATATGGCCTCACTGTTACTGTGGAACTGAATGTCCTCTCTGTTACTGTGGTACTGTATGGCCTCTCTGTTACTGTGGCACTGTATGGCCTCTCTATTACTGTGGTATTGTGTGGTCTCTGTTACTGTGGCAATATATGGCCTCTCTGTTACTGCGGCACTGTATGGCCTCGCTGTTACTGTGGTACTGAATGTCCTCTCTGTTACTGTGGTACTGTATGGCCTCTCTGTTACTATGGCACTGTATGGCCACTCTGTTACTGTGGTATTGTGTAGTCTCTGTTACTGTGGCACTATATGGCCTCTCTGTTACTGCGGCACTGTATGGCCTCGCTGTTACTATGGCACTAAATGTCCTCTCTGTTACTGTGGTACTGTATGGCCTCTCTTACTGTGGCACTGTATGGCCTCTCTGTTACTGTGGTATTGTGTGGCCTTTGTTACTGTGGTATTGTGTGGTCTCTGTTACTGTGGTATTGTGTGGCCTCTGTTACTGTGGTATTGTGTGGCCTCTGTTACTGTGGTATTGTGTGGTCTCTCTGTTATTGTTTCAATGTATGGCCGTTCTGTAACTATGTAGTTATATGGCCTCAATATCACTGTATGGCCTCTCTCTTCTGTGGTGATATATGGCCTCTGTGTTGCCGTGCCCCTGTATGTCCGCTGTGTTGCTGTGCCTCTGTATGGCCTCTGTGTTGCCGTGCCCCTGTATGTCCGCTTTGTTGCTGTGCCCGAGTATGAACTGTGGTCATTAATTTTGTTTTTGCTTTCCATTACTGCTAAATAAAATTGTTGATGTTTCATTAAATTTCTGTCGATAACATGTTGTAAGCTGGCACCTTAAGTACTTACACCTAACACAAAACAATGTAACGAACAAAATAGATTCTATTGGTTTTTTTATTCGCTGTTAGGTTGAACGATGAAATCATTAACAATATTGCAAACCATTTATAAAGCGCGTCTTTGTATTGAAGTTATGATAGAATGTAACTGCTTATCAGGGCCGATAGGCGAGGAGAGCTGTATGATGAATAATAGGTGATATCAGACATAGAACTGGCTGTAGTTATCTGATACTGAAGGTCATCTTACGGGTCATAGTTGCTATTTAAATCATATGCAAATGAGCGTTGTATTTGCATATCTTTATTAATTTTGTATGGTCCACAAGAACTTCGCCAAGAAGAGTGTAGCGATAAATTATGTTATACTGTTAATACCGACTGATATTGACTTTTTATCATCAACTGATGAATATCTGATTCTGTTGGATTAGGATGTTGTTACACAGACCTTGTAATGGGTACTATGTAAATCAGGTTTCACATGTACCTACCAATTTATCGGCAACTGTGACTTTCTGATTTAGGGTGAAGGCAGTGGACAGTGACGGTGGACGGTGCGAATTAATACCAGATGGCGCTAGTGATGTCCTGTCACACGAGGCAGGATTAATGATTGCTCCCACAAATTATTAATTTTCAACTTAATTTCTTTAATTACAGAACCAAGGACACACAACACCGGTGGTGACACAAGATGATCGAGAAGAGGAATATTCGCCGCCGACTCCACCAAGGACGCCGAACCATTCAACATCAGCCCCCTACCAACAGGTATTACCTTTTACACGACACATACAACTAACCGAACCATTCAACATCAGCCCCCTACCAACAGGTATTACCTTTTACGCGACACATACAACTAACCGAACCATTTAACATCAGCCCCCTACCAACAGGTATTACCTTTTACGCGACACATACAACTAGCCGAACCATTTAACACCAGCCCCTACCAACAGGTATTACCTTTTACACGACACATACAACTAACCGAACCATTCAACATCAGCCCCCTACCAACAGGTATTACCTTATACACGACGCATACAACTAGCCGAACCATTTAACATCAGCCCCCTACCAACAGGTATTACCTTTTACACGATACATACAACTAACCGAACCATTCAACATCAACCCCTACCAACAGGTATTACCTTTTACGCGACACATACAACTAGCCGAACCATTTAACACCAGCCCCCTACTAACAGGTACTACCTCCTACACGATGAATAGTTATTTTCCCGTTTTAGAGCCGTAATCATTGATAATGTGGTGTCAGCACTTTATATTTCATAGTAACGGGTGTGTAGCCTCTAGTCATATGGACTTAATAACCAACCATTAAACAGGCATTAAATAGTCAAAGAACAGGCCTCAGATATTTTTGTCTTAAAAAGTAATTGTTCGTTAACATTTCAAAATAATTAATAAACTCTTGTTTTCCATAATGTACCGTTTCAGCGTAACCACCCAGACGCTCGTGTTGGTGTGAGTATGCGTTTGTCTCCTTTGACTGTGAAGACCGATATGACGTCACCTGAAGACCAGCATGCCACCTCAGCTGTCTCTGGTGTACATTCTGATCCTTGTTCTCTGACGTCACCAAGACACACTAAGTTTCTGGACGACATGGACAATATGCTACAAACTAAACAAGCCATGGCGCAGTTGTTGTACGAAGCGATGAAGGAGCACCAGACTAAACTGAATCCAGGTAAATGTTCCCAAACGAAACAGCTAATAAATGTTAAAGACGAAGAGGCTAACACAGCTACAACAAGATAACAGTAAACTTTACTTAATTTTTCAAACAGATGGACTTAATCACTATTCCTACAAAAATAGAGTTTTGGTCCTTGCAATGTGTAGAGCTTAGACTGTTTGGTTGTTTATTTTCCAGTCTCCGCGGCCTACACTGACAGTAATTTGAAACCTTTCCCCCTTAAAGACCCGCCGAAATCAAAGTCAAAGTTCAAACGGCAAATCTCCACAGAATCAAACGACCCCAGCGATATCAAGGTAGGGATGAAGAGTCCGATTAAAAGGCTTCAGTCCAAATGTTATGACGAGCCAGACTACACTGAAAGGACAAATCTTCAAAACAGAAACACATCGAATGCGCCCCCACAGGGAAGCACCTGTCAGACTGCAGATGTCCCTAGTAAAGACAGCAAAAAGGAGGATCCGGCTAGTCAACACCCATATGCGATGAATGTCAAATGGATATTTAGTGAAACTGATCCTTCACCTAAAAAGGAGGAGGACTTCACAGAGATATCTGTAGTAGATGAAATATCTAAATCTAACGGTGAAGGTGTGGACAGGTGTGAACATTCTTTCGCACAGAGCAGCCAGGACGCCTCGCGCAATATCGGTAGTTTCCGTACGGTCGATGCTACAAACAATGGCTGTAATCATAATAATCAGGCGGAAAGTATCAGTAATGACTTATACAAGTACCGGATGGAAGTTGGTAAGACTAGATCATCGAAAGATGAAGAGCAGGACTGTCTCAGTCTTTCGACAAGTCCAAGGAAGACAGGGGAGGTCACCAAGGGTCGCGGATATGATAGCGTTGTGACAGTGCGAGGAAGTGAAATGACGGGAGGATACACCTCGGATCTTAAGTCTGGTGGTGATTCTGTAAGACATGGCGAGCACAGCAAACAGAAACTAGGAGAAGATATGTACATGATGATGTCCGGACTCCGGAATCGTGACGGGCGGACAACAGGTACAGCCACGACCGAGATGTCCCACGTGACCTCCAAGGGATTCGTTTTCCCGCCAGAAGCGAATATCAAAGAGCCTATTCCAATGAGTCCGAGAATTGTATGTACCCCTACTCGAACATCAGTCTCCACGGAATGCGATTCGTCGTCACGCGCTACGCCGAGAAACGCCTCACAAAGACCGCCAAGTATGACGTCAACACGTACTACATCTTTAAGTCGACAGATGATGCCGTCTCCCACGTCTAAAGAGCAGACGATGTATGGATGGGACGTCTCTCTTTACCAGAGAGAAGTAGGCAATCAGAGACGTCGCTTCTTCCATAGCATGAGTGACACTGACCATTCTCCGTCCAAACACGAAATAGAACAGATGAAATCACTCAACCGCACTATCTCAGATCCCTCCTGTTTTTCTCCCTCAAAAAAGAACATGCTAGCCGAAGAAATAATCCGCATGGATCCCCAGTATCTGGTGACGGGAGGCCAGTACGACGAGGAGGAGCTATCTCGCCCGTATAGTGACGAAGACAGACAGTATTCCTCAACCCAGTATCACCAAACCGAGCGGGCTCCGGGAATTCCCGGATATCACGGATCGGAGTCAGCAAGGCGACAGTTGTTCTCGGAGGCGAGCGGTGCTCCACATCAATACAAACGTAAGTTTTTCTTTTTGTCGTTTTCACCACTCAGTTACTGGCGGACACGATGACGTGATAAAACCGTGTCGAAAGAAAATATAACATGTTAAAAATTGGCCGTTACATAAGTCTTTTCCTTTCGCAGAATAGTGTTAATTGATTCAGGTATCCACATTAGAACTAGACACCTAACCTCTGGTGTACGTATTCTAGACCGAAAAAGCAGCCATGCATGGCTCAGGTAAACAGACGACACTGCATTATATTTGTGATGTATCGAACATCTAGGCCTTTCCCAACTAGAGAAGTTTCGTATATGTTGATACCCTACATTGAAGTTTTGAACTTTGACCCCTATGGAAAATTGGAAGTTTGTCCTTTGTGGAAGTTTTGCATAAACCAATCAAAAAGAAGTATCTTTAGGAGGTTGTTAGTCGAAACACGTAACTGTTTTCCTCTTAAATGTAAGAAAACGCCATTTAATGATATTAATACAATTTACCCCAGTGACCTTGAAAGTAGGTCAATGTCATTCATATTAACAACAATAATAGACAATCATATTACCTTCATATGTGTCAGATATCGAGTCTCTAGGTTCTTTCAGTCTTGAGACGACGTTTCGTATACATGGGTACCCTACATTGAAGTTTTGAACTTTGACCCTTATGGAACTCCGAAAGTTGGCATTTTGTGGAAGTTTTGTTTAAACCAATCAAAAGCCAGTCTCTACTGGAGGTTGCTTACCAAATCATATAACTGTTTACTCTTGAAAAAGTAAGAAAACGTCATTAAATGACGTTAATATAATTGACCCCTGTCACGTGAAAGTAGGTCAAGGTCATTCATAGTAACAGATGTAATAGGCAATTACCTTAGCAATATGTGTGTGAAATATCGAACGTCTAGACCTTTCCAACCTTGAGAAGAAATTTCTGGTAGTTTGGTACCCTAAATTGCACTTTTGAACTTTGAAAACTGGAAGTTGACGTTTTACAAAAAAATGTCCTACAAGAAGTGCCATTTACTTTCAAATCTACATAACATACCCAAAGATAGTTTCAAAATGTCACGTCATTATTTAGATATTGAGGTTAGGGCAAAAATCAAATATGGCGTCATGGCGGCCATTTTGTTTCTTTAAACAGAAGTTAGAAGGTACGTTAATAAACCTATTCCATAACAATTAAACAAAATGTCATCGTAGGATCTTGGAGTAATTTTAGTTCAAATTTTTTTCTGCACATTACATTGAACTATGGAAAAGAATGACGTCACAGAAGAAATGTACACTAAAATGATCGGATTGACCATTTGCATTAACTGTGGGGGAAAAATCGAATTTTTTTCTTCTATTTTTAGGTGACCTTGACCTCTTGGCGTTCTCATTTATTTGAAAGAATTTCTATTAACATGTATAAAAAGAGATATGACCCTTCTCTACATAAAATATAATTGGAGCAAATTTGTAGGATAAATAGTGTTCGAGTTATTGATGTTTTTAGAATTTCTGGTAATTGGGTCATGGCGGCCATATTTGATCTTTGACCTACTAGAAAATGCGGCAGTAATAAGCTCAGATGCACTTCCATAACATACTATATAGGCTGCGTGCCTATCCCTTACCGTTTAAAAGATTGTGAACCCTCAATTTCGGAAGAAGAATAATAAGAGACATAACAAAAACGATAGGTCTTTTCACCTTTTGGAGAAATAGTCTAATAACGGTAATAGAAACAGTAAGTCCTGCACTTTATTTGTCTTCAAAAGGTCACGTGATGGAAGATACTGGTGATCATTACCCTGGTATGATAAATACGAATGATAGAATACTGACGTCTTTTTCTAGTGCTTAAGTCAGTACGAAAAGTTATTAAGTTAGATCATTTGTGTACTTGTGATACAAATTTCTATTCAATATAAAATTGATGTATTTTACAAACAATTTCATAACAAATGTACCGGAGCAGACCTATATTTATTTGATGGCCTCACAGAATGTATTCCACAGATCTTGTCAGGCCATTCAGATATACACCAACAAGCGGATTGGCACGGGATTCACAAGGTGTTTGATCGATGTGATTTTGTTAGATATAAAACAACGGCGTGCGTTGGTTTTTGTTACAGATCGAGTTCCAAGAGAATCTGCTCGAGATAGAATACCAGATGATATTGCCTCTTTCCTCGTCATGTCCAAATTCTGCACGGCTGAGGACATCATTAGTTTCAATGAAAAGGACAAGCTATGTCCGCGAGATGTGCAGGACTATCGACTGACAAGAGATTGGATGATGGCCAGACACGTGACCGGAAACTATCGGCAGTCAGATGACTTTAATGTCCGACCACAGGAGGAATATGGTTCCAGGCTCCAGATACCAACACGACAAGTCAGTTATCAGGCTCCGTCACCGCCACAACGCAAGCGCAATCGAGGTAAGCCTCTATTTGGACTTCTATGTCTCCGCTGTCGTTAGCGTCTCCTGATGAGACGACTTGTAAGGAAGATCAGTTCTAAACCCATAATATGTGCTGTGGATATGTTATATCGTAGTATACATATAGTCAAAATATCCAATGCGTATTACTGAAATGCGAAGCAAATTTCCCCGATAAACTTAATAAAGATCTATTTTATCAAAACCATCGATCATGTATTTTTTTTCTTCTGTATACAATTGCAAGTCTGTAAGATAAGTTAGGTACTGCAGTGATCTTGATCCTCCCGTTTTGTTGTAACCTGGGTTGTAAATGTGTACATAACTTTACTCGCCAGGTGAGGTGGATATCCGTATGGTGTGTGAGGACTTCCGGCTATCTGATAAAACCAAGAACTTCCGGTTTGCAGACGATGCTGCCAAGAACTGTCAGTGTGCTAACGTTGAGAACGAGATTCTCGAGATGGCACGTGACGCGTTCGCGAAAATTCGAAGAAAAGATGATTCTGCTGAGGCCCATGATCAGTTTGGCAAGGAGCTGCAAGAAACTAAATCTCGCATCTACCAGGCTTTTGATATATTGAGCGGTGTGAAAGCGATTTGTAAACATGAGCGAACCGTTGTAGATATGTTTAGTGGCAGTGTTGTGTTCAGGGTTCGATGCCCTACCGTTTTTGCACTTGACAACCTCTGGGACTCCTATCAATCCGGGGATTTAAACACGATTGTAAACAGACACTTTGTGTGGGATTCCTTGCGGTCTAAATACTCGGACATGGATATAGGGCTGATTGTGACCATAGCGGAGGGCGAGTACCAACTGGCTAGGGCAGAATTAGGTAACTAACAGGACTGTGGTTTATGAAATGTTCAAGATGAGTTATTTTAAATATTGTATAATTTGAATAATTCTAAGCTTAAACTATATTTAAAACTCGTTCACCCAGCAGCTAGATAACTAGACGAACATGCAGGTTTATTTTAAACAATAATGGCTGGTGATAAAGGTTAGGATCTAAAGACTTTGATTATGATAATTATCTTTACAGGCACTTTGATGTCTCCGGGAAGGTTGGATAACTCCTTATCAAAAAGTGACACCGAAATAGCGAGTATTACAGGGGATTCTGTCAAGGTAAAGTATGATTCATCAGGTACATCATTGTTATATATATACAAGTTTTTACACATAGTTCACTTATTGTCTACACCTTAAGATCGTAGATTTCTACTCAGATGAAAACCAATCTACTATAATCATTATTGTGCTTGTTTAAATACATATAATGCATTATGAGAATATCAAAAGACCAGTACAAATTCATAATCTTAGTACTCAGGAGAAAAGGTCAGAGTTCACTACATCGGAACTCGGTTACCGGTCTCTTACCTTTATCTTAGTATTCAGGAGAAAAGGTCAGAGTTCACTTCATCGCAACTCGGTTACCGGTCTCTTACCTCTATCTTAGTACTCAAGAGAAAAGGTCAGAGTTTACCTCTATCAGGAGAAAAGGTCAGAGTTCACCACATCGGAACTCGGTTACCGGTCTATTACCTTTATCTTAGTATTCAGGAGAAAAGGTCAGAGTTCACCACATCGGAACTCGGTTACCGGTCTCTTACCTTTATCTTAGTACTCAGGAGAAAAGGTCAGAGTTCACCACATCGGAACTCGGTTACCGGTCTATTACCTCTATCTTAGTACTCAAGAGAAAAGGTCAGAGTTCACCACATCGGAACTCGATTACATATTGAATGTCTTTTACCTTTCTTTACTGAGTCCACGTGCTGTAGTGACTTGATAATCAAGCATTTCATTAAACAATGTATAACACTTTCTTCATTAAGCAACCTTGTTTGTTGTAACACTGGATCTTATTTTCGAAAATTACAAAAATTACTTTTCACATATCCATTACTGTATGGTCAGATGTCGCAGTGACAACGCATTCTCCATTCACCTAGGCGTCAGGGGTTTTATTTCTGGAACGGACGTAAACAAGAATAAGAGTGAGATTTCTCTGAGTACAATGATTTCCTCCCACAATGCACCTCGCGCGCTTCCATACAGGCAAACTACTGTGATAATTATATATATATATATATAGTGATTACGTTGGAAACAATTTTTAAAGTTTAACTTTATTTTTTCATATTTCCACGTAGATCGAATATTTTGACATGCGTCATTAGGCACGATTCAGTGCAAGTCAAACACGATCCAGCACAATTCAGACACGATTCAGCAAAATTCAGACACGATTCAGTACAAATTCGGACACGATTCAGTACAAATTCGGACACGATACAACACAATTCAGACACGATTCAGCACAATTCAGCACCAGTCAGACACGATTCAGCACAATTCAGACACGATCTAGCACAATTCAGACACGATTTATCACAATTCAGACACGATTCAGCACAATTTAGACACGATTCAGCACAATTTAGACACGATTCAGCACAATTCAGGTTAAGGAAGACTGAATAGACATATCAAACCGTTGAAGTCTGAATTTTCAATGAGTGTTGCGGGATAAACAGAATACACGATTCATGTCCACGGCATCCTTTCTGCTTCCATTGAAAAAATCAACCAGTAGAAAAAAGTATTTTTCTGTAAAGCTGTCAACGAGCGAAATTCTGTTATAACGTCTCATAATGTATATCACAGACAAAAAAAAACACAAAACTTATTCATGAAAGGTAAATCTAATTTGAACAAAAAGTTCAGTTTTGATTGGCATTTAAATCTGGCACTTTATTGTAGGAGAACTTTCGTTGTACCAAAGTGTTGTCGTCGGCCTCCCATCTCGGTATCATCCACAGTCGCTGTCAGTCTGCTCCAGTCACACCCTCCCCAGCATCTAGTCCATCATGGCTTCCCAAGTCCCCCATGTCGCCGCTAGGGGGCGACCGCAAGTTCACATTTCCTGGTGAACCACGCCGTATATTTCAGGAACGGTATGTATAATCTTGTGTGTCAGTAGGCTTGTTCATATAGGTTAAGTTTCTATGAATGTAGGCCAAATATCAAGATTTTTTGTAACGTTGCACAGAACAATTTTGCGTAGCGAAGGTTCACGCCAGTAAGAAATGAGTACCAAAATAACACTGTATTTTTGCGTTTCACAGAAACAAAGGGTCGTGTTCTCCAACCATGAAGAAATTATTTGATTTCGAGTTGAACCTTTCTCCGAAGACGTCGCCGAAGAGGAAGACTTTTGCGGAGGGATTTCCACGAGAAAATGTTCATCCGGAAGTTCACTCTCCGAAACGGAAAAATAATGGAACAAGTTTCCCTTTTAAAGACAAAAGTAATGACGTGGAAACATAAGATTGTGACATATTCACACCTTACAGCTGATTAACGGACGGTGAAATAAGTTATCCATATACAATATCAGAGTGACTATCAACGTTTTTTTTTAAAATTAATTGGTTGAAGAACCCACGTGGTATGTTATCTACTTTGTAGGAATTCTTCTGACTCACGTGATATGGTATCTACTTTGTAGGAATTCTTCTGACTCACGTGATATGGTATCTACTTTGTAGGAATTATTCTGACTCACGTGATATGGTATCTACTTTGTAGGAATTCTTCTGACTCACGTGATATGGTATCTACTTTGTAGAAATTCTTCTGACTATTATCTACTATATATCTACCACGTGCTGTACTGTCGAGCTATTGTCTACCCCGTATAGAGTCTTATTTTACAGGATTTCTTGTTTGTGTGAAAGGACTTGATGGCATCTATTGAAAACTCTATTTTATTTTATCATTTACCACATAGATCTATACAAGTTCCGAGTTTAGTCCCACAGACAGCCGTCCTAGCCCTATGTTACACAGATATATCAATTAGAAAGACAAGGAGTTTAGTTAGAAGTCCCACAGGCAGCCGTCCTTACTCCATGTTACACAGATATATCTATGAAGGCAAGGAGTTTAGTTAGAAGTCCCACAGACAGACGTCCTTACTCCATGTTACACAGATATATCTATGAAGGCAAGGAGTTTAGTTAGAAGTCCCACAGACAGCCGTCCTAGCCCAATGTTACACAGATATATCTGTGAGAAAGACTAGGAGTTTAGTTAGAAGTCCCACAGACAGCCGTCCTAACTCCATGTTACACAGATATATCAATTAGAAAGACAAGGAGTTTAGTTAGAAGTCCCACAGGCAGCCGTCCTTACTCCATGTTACACAGATATATCTATGAAGGCAAGGAGTTTAGTTAGAAGTCCCACAGACAGCCGTCCTAACTCCATGTTACACAGATATATCTATGAAGGCAAGGAGTTTAGTTAGAAGTCCCACAGACAGCCGTCCTAACTCCATGTTACACAGATATATCTATGAAGGCAAGGAGTTTAGTTAGAAGTCCCACAGACAGCCGTCCTAACTCCATGTTACACAGATATATCTATGAAGGCAAGGAGTTTAGTTAGAAGTCCCACAGACAGCCGTCCTAGCCCTATGCTTCATTCCCTGTTTGTTTGATACAAGGCGCCCTTTGTTTTCACCGTCCAAATCAAAATCACTTTTAAAGTGAAATCTGAACTACGTTATCATAACAGTCTCAAATTATTACTAATTAATTGTTGTTGTTGTCAAGTCAGTGAGTACAACAACTTCAGAGTGAATTGTGATGTACACCTTGTCAAGTCAGTGTGTACAACAACTTCAGAGTGAACGGTGATGTACACTTTGTCAAGTCAGTGTGTACAACAACTTCAGAGTGAATTGTGATGTACACTTTGTCAAGTCAGTGTGTACAACATTAGAGTGAACAGCCATATACACTTTGTCAAATTATTGTGTACAACAGCTGTCCATATACCAATAATACATGCCACATGTTAGTATTATATGTTACTATATGATACAGGTCGTCAGTATGTATTTTTCCCATACTATTACCGGAAACGACTTCCAGAATGATTACACTACAGTTTACATAGACTATGTGACTTGTGAATCCTGACAACAGTCTACACATGTCTCTGGTGTGTCTGTAGCTTTGTATGCGTTGTGGTATCAATGCTGTGCATTTAAGGTCGGTTTTCACTCCTTTATACAATCTTCCTGTAAGGAATATTTGTTCTCGATGTCTGTAAATGATTTAATCAATGAATTTAACATTAACCACTAAATAGGATTTATACCTACTACTAGGTGACCATTAGCAGTGTCCATCTGCCTTTCCTATAACTAGGTGACCACCAGCAGTGTCCATCAGCCTTTCCTGTTACTAGGTGACCACTAGCAGTGTCCATCAGCCTTTCCTGTTACTAAATGACCACTAGCAGTGTCCATCAGCCTTTCCTGTTACTAGGTGACCACTAGCAGTGTCCATCAGCCTTTCCTGTTACTAAATGACCACTAGCAGTGTCCATCAGCCTTTCCTATAACTAAATGACCACTAGCAGTGTCCATCAGCCTTTCCTGTTACTAGGTGACCACTAGCAGTGTCCATCAATCAGCCTTTCCTGTTACTAGGTGACCACTAGCAGTGTCCATCAGCCTTTCCTGTTACTAAATGACCACTAGCAGTGTCCATCAGCCTTTCCTGTCACTAGGTGACCATTAGCAGTGTCCATCAGCCTTTCCTGTTACTAGGTGACCACCAGCAGTGTCCATCAGCCTTTTCTATAACTAGGTGACCATTAGCAGTGTCCATCAGCCTTTCCTGTCACTAGGTGACCATTAGCAGTGTCCATCAGCCTTTCCTGTCACTAGGTGACCATTAGCAGTGTCCATCAGCCTTTCCTGTTACTAGGTGACCATTAGCAGTGTCCATCAGCCTTTCCTGTTACTAGATGACCACCAGCAATGTCCATCAGCCTTTTCTATAACTAGGTGACCATTAGCAGTGTCCATCAGCCTTTCCTGTCACTAGGTGACCACCAGCAATGTCCATCAGCCTTTTCTATAACTAGGTGACCATTAGCAGTGTCCATCAGCCTTTCCTGTCACTAGGTGACCACTAGCAGTGTCCATCAGCCTTTTCTATAACTAGGTGACCATTAGCAGTGTCCATCAGCCTTTCCTGTCACTAGGTGACCACTAGCAGTGTCCATCAGCCTTTCCTGTTACTAGATGACCACCAGCAATGTCCATCAGCCTTTTCTATAACTAGGTGACCATTAGCAGTGTCCATCAGCCTTTCCTGTCACTAGGTGACCACTAGCAGTGTCCATCAGCCTTTCCTGTCACTAGGTGACCACTAGCAGTGTCCATCAGCCTTTCCTGTTACTAAATGACCACCAGCAGTGTCCATCAGCCTTTCCTGTTACTAAATGACCAATACCTAGCAGTGTCCATCAGCCTTTCCTATAACTAGGTGACCACTAGCAGTGTCCATCAGCCTTTCCTATAACTAGGTGACCACCAGCAGTGTCCATCAGCCTTTCCTGTTACTAGATGACCACTAGCAGTGTCCATCAGCCTTTCCTATAACTAGGTGACCACTAGCAGTGTCCATCAGCCTTTCCTGTCACTAGGTGACCACTAGCAATGTCCATCAGCCTTTCCTATAACTAGGTGACCACTAGCAGTGTCCATCAGCCTTTCCTATAACTAGGTGACCACTAGCAGTGTCCATCAGCCTTTTCTATAACTAGGTGACCATTAGCAGTGTCCATCAGCCTTTCCTGTCACTAGGTGACCACTAGCAGTGTCCATCAGCCTTTCCTGTTACTAGATGACCACCAGCAATGTCCATCAGCCTTTTCTATAACTAGGTGACCATTAGCAGTGTCCATCAGCCTTTCCTGTCACTAGGTGACCACTAGCAGTGTCCATCAGCCTTTCCTGTCACTAGGTGACCACTAGCAGTGTCCATCAGCCTTTCCTGTTACTAGATGACCACCAGCAGTGTCCATCAGCCTTTCCTGTTACTAGATGACCACCAGCAGTGTCCATCAGCCTTTCCTATAACTAGGTGACCACCAGCAGTGTCCATCAGCCTTTCCTATAACTAGGTGACCATTAGCAGTGTCCATCATCCTTTCCTGTTACTAGATGACCACCAGCAGTGTCCATCAGCCTTTCCTATAACTAGGTGACCACTAGCAGTGTCCATCAGCCTTTCCTGTCACTAGGTGACCACTAGCAATGTCCATCAGCCTTTCCTATAACTAGGTGACCACTAGCAGTGTCCATCAGCCTTTCCTATAACTAGGTGACCACCAGCAGTGTCCATCAGCCTTTCCTATAACTAGGTGACCACTAGCAGTGTCCATCAGCCTTTCCTATAACTAGGTGACCACTAGCAGTGTCCATCAGCCTTTCCTGTTACTAGATGACCACCAGCAGTGTCCATCAGCCTTTCCTGTTACTAGATGACCACCAGCAGTGTCCATCAGCCTTTCCTGTTACTAGATGACCACCACCAGTGTTCTATTTTTTAAAAGTTTTGATCTCAAGATTTACTGATCCGTGGCAGCATAACTTTTATTATCCCCGATTGTGTTCGTTATTCTCAATGGTTTTTAATGATGAAAAATCCATGTATTTTTACAAGTTACTGTTATAACATTAATCTTCGTGGGGTTTTATTTGCGTTGGATTCGTTGACACTCTTAACCCAGAAATTTAATTGTCCATTAAAAATGAACAGTTAAAAGTTAACATATATTACAGTATTTGTTGACTTCCTAAATTTACCCACAAAATCAAGTGTCAACGAAACAATTTTCAGGAGAAACCCACGAAATTTGATGTCCAATGATTCTTGACTTTACTCGTTAACCACTCAATATAAACTCTAGTGGTTGTTAAATGTAGAAAAAGTGATTGCTATGTAAGTTTGCACCGAATGTGTTCAACTTGAAACGATTGTTTGATCTCAAACTTTATTGCGCGTGAATGTAACTCATTTAATAGATTTCATTGTGTGGGTACACGTATCATCATTTAATTGTGTGGGTACACGTATCATCATTTGATTGTGTGGGTACACATATCATCATTTAATTGTGTGGGTACACGTATCATCATTTAATTGTGTGGGTACACGTATCATCATTTAATTGTGTGGGTACACGTATCATCATTTAATTGTGTGGGTACACGTATCATCATTTGATTGTGTGGGTACACGTATCATCATTTAATTGTGTGGGTACACGTATCATCATTTAATTGTGTGGGTACACGTATCATCATTTGATTGTGTGGGTACATATATCATCATTTGATTGAATATTCGTCACTTCACTTCTTATTATCATCAAAGAGGAATCATAGCGTAAGGTAGGTACATTACGCGCGCGATGCCCACGACACAGTCAACCGTCGTAAAATAAAGATCAATTTCCAGATT